GGAGCCTGATGTGGGGCTCGCCCAGGACCCTGGGATCATGACCTGAGCTGAAGGCAGACATTTAACGACTGAGCCACCCAGGCGCCCCCTTCATGTATTTTAAATACAAGTCTTTTAGCAGATAGATCTGTAAAACTTTTCTGCCGTTCTGGGAACTGTCTCCACTTTCTTGATGGTGCCTGTTGAAGCCCAAGTTTTTGTTGTTGTTGTTTGTTTTAAAGATTTTATTTATTTGAGTGTGAGTGAGCAAGATCAGAGCAGGGGCAGAGGGAGAGGAAGCAGACTTCCCCCTGAGCACAGAGCCCGACGTGGGCCTCGATTCCAGGATCCTGGGATCACAACCTGAGCTGAAGACAGCTGCTTAAACAACTGCGCCACCCAGGCGCCCCGAAGCCCAAGTTTTTAATTTAGTGACATTCGGTTTTTTTCTTTAGTTGCTTGGACTTGATCTCTTGGGCCCTGCCACTGATCTGTGACATTTAATAAACATACTGACTCCAGGCTCCTTCTGCTCCGGTGGGGTTCTGAACTTCCCTCTAGCGGGGCTCTCGGATGGAGCTGCCCTAGGAGAGCTGCTGTCACTGGGTGTCTCTTTGTACTGTTGAGAATTTGTTCTGATTCATACTATTTTCAGTTAAAAAAAATTAACTGAGCTTCACTTCAAAATGCTAATTTCAAACCTTCTATGCTGAATAGAGTGAAAGGAAGTGCCTTGCTAAAGACAGGATGCTAACCCAAGGCAGGAAGGCCCCTGGTTTCCTGTTTCTCCCCCAGGGCCCAGCAGCAGGTGCTCAGTGAGCCTTGGGAGGGAAAGAGATGAGGGAAATGTTTCATTCCGCATCTTCCTTCCCACCCTGTCCTCCACAAAAACGGGGCGGGGCCCTGCGTGCACAGCTGGCTCTAAGAGCTGCTGGGGTGCGGAGAAGCCTGTTCTCCTTTCTTCCTGCAGTGGGTGCAGGTCTGTGGGGGCTGGTGTGAGCCTGGAGTGCACAGGACTTGCAGCCGTGAGAGGGGAAGCGGAGCTGAGGAGTCGATGGGCAGGCCGGCTTGCTGCTGTGCCGGCGGGAACCAGCCAGATGGGGTGGGGTGTGTTGGCTGCGCCTCTTGCTCTAGTGCTGAGGCTCTGCCTGTTCTCCCCCCAGAACAGCTCCCTAGAGCCCTGCGTGTCTGCTCAGGCCGCCAGTGTAAGGAGCCTGTCCTGCCTTCCCCTTCTGAGTACTTGGGATTTGAGGTAAAAAGTCTCCCACAAGCATAGTGCTCTGGCACCGAGGCAGCCTGCTGCCCTGGAGGGAGGGTCCGCCTTACCAGCTTCTTTCCTCACAGGGCACCCTTCCTTACCTTCTGGCTTTGACACAGGAAGCGGGGATGATGGTGGATGGTGGCGGCTCTGGGCCTGATTATCCTTGGTGATGGTAGGATATCTCCAAGGCCTAGAGGGAGCCCGGTGACTCTAAACTGCTCTACTGAAGGAATCTGAGCCAGTCCACAAGCCCTGTCCCCCACCCAGAGTGCAGAGATTGACGAGGACTAAAAGGCCACCTGAGCTGCTGGGGCTCAGAGAACTGTCACAGACCTGTGCTTGACCAACATGCAGGGGCTGGGAGCTTAGTTCATGTTGCGGCTTTCCTTCCAGGTCCAGAAGCAGCAAAGATGTCCAACGAGCCACCCCCTCCTTATCCTGGAGGTCCCACAGCCCCCCTTCTGGAGGAGAAGAGTGGAGCCCCACCTACCCCAGGTAGGATTCAGTGTTCCTGATGGTCCTGTCCCTTGTGCCTTGCCCGTCCCCGCTCCTAGGAGCTGGTGCCTGGAGCAGCCCTCCCAGTGACTCCGCAGCCACTGCCCTCTGAGCTCCCTCTCCCTGCCCTTCTCTGTCCAGGCTGTACCTCCCCAGCTGTGATGCAGCCCCCTCCGGGCATGTCGATGCCCCCTGCAGACATTGGTCCCCCACCCTATGAGCCACCAGGTCACCCAATGCCTCAGCCTGGCTTCATCCCCCCGCATGTGAATGCAGATGGCACCTACATGCCTCCAGGTAAGTAGGAAAGGGGAGCACAGGGGTCTGCCCGGTCCAGCATCCAGCATGTTATCTGGGCTGCCGTCCAGCCTTTGCAGCAGGTAGGTGGTCTTCCTGCCCAGTGTTTTCTCAGGGCTGGGGGCGTTGATTGTGGGTGTGGATGGAGGACATGGGAAGGTGTCCTAAAGCAAAGCACTGGTGTGCAAGTACTGTGGGCAAGCCACATGAGCCCTGGGCCCTGCTGGGAGGAGGGCTAGCTCCTGGGAAGGCCCCTAAGGCACAGTGGCAGGTGCTGACTCGTGGGTGCTGTGGGGGCCTCTCCCTGCCAGGGTCTTGAATCCATGGGGGAGGCCTGGGCTCCTGCTCAGCCAGCAGTTCTTGAGGACTCCTCAGGCCAAAGAAGGGCTCAGGGCTCTTGCACAGGTGGCCCCAGGTGACATGGGCCAGTCCCTGGTATTTCAGTGCAGGATCTGACGCTGGTGGGGCCGAGAGCCCTGTGTGCACAAGAGGAGCTGGGCTGGTGAGTGGCAAGGCTCTCCCTCCTGTGGTTGAGGTCCCCTGCGTGTCAGAGGCAAGGAGCAAACACATCAAGCTGAGACCGAGGAGAGATTAGGACTTCTTCCCGGCTCTGCCATGTCTGGCTGGGCCAAGTAGCTTCTCTGTCTTGGTCTCACAGGGCTGGGAGAATGTAGATGGTCGCCTTGGCCCAGGGCCGGGTCCCGGAGGCCTCCCCTTGTATCCTAGGGGCCACATGGGGCAGGTGGCAAGCCAGTAACCTGTCTTTACGCTGTCTTCTGTGCCATTCCAGGTTTCTACCCTCCTCCAGGCCCCCACCCACCCATGGGCTACTATCCACCAGGGCCTTACCCTCCAGGGCCCTATTCTGGCCCTGGGGGCCACACTGCCACAGTCCTAGTTCCTTCAGGGGCTGCCACCACAGTGACAGTACTGCAGGGAGAGATCTTCGAGGGCGCCCCTGTACAGACAGTGTGTCCCCACTGCCAGCAGGCCATCACCACCAAGATCTCCTATGAGATTGGCCTGATGAACTTCGTGCTGGGCTTCTTCTGCTGCTTCATGGGGTAGGTGATGTGGGCGCTTGGGGGGTGGGGGCTGTGCCCACCGGCCGCCGAGCTGGAGTAGGCCTGCGTGCCCTCCGTGCCTTCTCTTCTGACCTCCCCGTCTTCCCGGTCTCTGATTCAGGTGTGATCTGGGCTGCTGCTTGATCCCCTGCCTCATCAACGACTTCAAGGATGTGACGCACACATGCCCCAGCTGCAAAGCCTACATCTACACGTACAAGCGCCTGTGCTAACGGAGCCGGGACTGGACTCCCTGCTGTCAGTCTGGCCCCCTGTGCTTTTGCTCCCCTCGCTCAGTGGCTCGCTTCCTTGCTCCCACTTGGGGGTGGAAGCCATTCCACCAGTCCCTGGAAGTCTCGTCCTCTTTGGCTTGCCCTTCCCTGAGCATCTGACTCTTGCGGCAAAAATCCTGTTGGATTTAAGGCCAAGGGTCAGCAAGTGGCAGGGGGATAGCACTGAGCCTGTGTGTTGGTTTGGTTGGTGTTTGTGATCAGGAAGAGAAGCTGTAAAGGGTCTCCTTGCACGGTCTCCCTGCTGGGGTCTCGTTCCTCCATTTCTGTACAAAGTATAGATTTGGTCCTAACTCTCCCTGGGACCACAAGCAGCCAGAGCAGACCTGGGGCCTGCAGTGGGGCTGTACCTATAGCCACAGTTATTTCTGATCTCCTGGGCCAAGAGTCGGGGAGTGGACCCAAGCAGGACAGAGTCCTAAGGCCTGGCTTTGTTCCTGGGGTACTAGAGGTGGACATGATGATTAGAAGGATGACTCTGGCTCTTAGAACTCTCAAACTCTTAACACCCTGTCCAAGTGCCCAGCAGTCCCCTGGGGTAAGGGAGAGAGGTCAGCACATCTGCAAGTCGTGGGATGAGTGGTTAGGCCCCAGCTTGCTAAGAAGGGACTTGCTTCTGGCCCCCACCCAGCTCCCTTTCTGGCCACCCCTCCACAACCCCCCGTCTTTGCTAGGGCCAGAAGGAATGCCCAGGAGCCTAACCCATAGCCATACCATGTCCTATGTATGGCTATGTATCGGCAAGACCTTTGCCCAGTGGCTGGTGTGTCCCAGCTAGGACTGGAGATGACAGAGAAGGGGCCTCCTTGCAAGCACACTCAGATTTGTCATGCACGCTCCATGGATCCTCTTCTCAGTAAGTGCTGGGCCCTGGGCCCTGGCTGACTTGCTGTCACTGTGCTTGTTTCAACAGCAGGTACTGCAGCAGGAGCAGCTGTGGCACTGGACTGGGACAGGCCGGGGACAAGGAAGGAGCAGCCCCAAGTGGCGGAAGTGCCCTGGTGGACACCTGCCCTGGGCCTGAGCCCACACTGTATTTCGTGAATGGTTTGTCTGTGAACTTGCTCACGTGGACCGCTGTATCCTGCTGCCACCCCTCTCCTGGTCTCGCACTGCCACTGCATGGCCTCCTGTCACTGTGAATCATGGCTGGTCTCAGTTTGTAGTTTCTCATTAAATTGGCCCTTTCACTCCCCTGCCCTGGGCCTCTGCTCTCCTGCCTGGCTTCCTTCTTTGACGGAAAGAGGGTGGGGGCTAGAAGTGGTCTTAAGGGCAGGGGCTTGAGTCCTCGGGGTCTTTGTGCTTGTGCTGCACTGACTGCCCAGGGATGACACTAAGTATCTGATTAAACCACACCCAAACCCGGTGTGGACAAGCCGTGGGGTTCTAGCTGTGACTGGGTCGGGGTAGGAGTTGGCTTCACTGCGCTCAAAGGGCACCTTCCTATCTCTGACACTGGTTTCACCTATCTCCATGCCACGGCATCTGCCCACACCGTCTGCAGGCTGGAGCCCCCTGGCTTTAGCTCAGGGTCATCCCACCCTGCAGGCAAATACCCTTGCTCCCTTAAGCAAGACAGAATCACTGGGGCTGAGGCTTCTGGTCTGAAGGCTAATGGGGGGCAGCTAGTTAGCCCCTAGGTTCTGAGCCAGCTCCACCCCTACTAGCCCTCATCTGAACTGTGAAAAACAGGTAGGCTTGGTCAGTAGTCGAAGACAATGTTTTCCTCGCCATTTAACCCTTTCCTGAATAAAACTTTTGCAGATCAATATATAAAACAAACTGATTCCTATCAATAAAAATATTTAAGTTCACATTTGTATTTTAGACAAGAACTGTTATAATACAAGCATATACTTTTTATCCTTATTTATAAACAAATTATTTCAAAAAGTAGGAAACCTCCCAGGCACTTGCGAGAGAGAATCACAAGACCACATTGTGAGACACGGTGGCTTTGCTCTGGGCAAAGGGCTGTGAGGTGACCAGGGGTGTTGGGAGCACAGAAAGGGCAGGAGTGGCTGAGAAGGATAATGTTGGTGCCAGGAAAGAGGGAGGCAGCTGTCAGAGTCCACTTTATTGAGTGCTGTAGCATTTACACAGGTCAAGGGAGGAGATAGGCCACGGCTAAACAGACCCCCCTCTTCTGGAGTTTCTGCTTGAGAGGGTGAGGACTGGCTGTTCAGGACGGAGCTCCCCAGGCCTCTGAGGCAGGGCGCAAGCCACCCCTCCCTCCCACAGAGCTACAGCAGCGTGGGCTTGCTGGCTGCTCTGTTCCCATCAGGGGAAAGGTACCCACCTAAATGCCAACATAAGGAAGAATGAAGGGAAGGAGCCTCAGGGTGAGCAGTGTGGACGCCCCTGGAGCAAAGTTGGTTCCAGAGGCCCAGGCTGCTCCCAGTACCATCGCCTAATGGCTGCAGGAATGGTGGGCCTACAGCCAGCTCAGCATCTAGCCCACAGAGAGGACGCTACAGGCAGAGGCTTTAGCGTCTGGCCTTTATTGGTTGGTTGCTTTCTCAAAACCAGCATTTAAGAAGAGTCACCTGAGGTGGTAGTTTAGTCACCGGTGGAGGTGGGGGCAGGCCAGTGGTCACTCAGGAGGAGGGCGCCAACGTGGTATGATGGGTCCTTCACATGTAGTACCAGGCCAGGAGGCCAGCAACCAGGGCCACACCAGCGGCCAGAATGAACTGCAGGCCGGGCTTACTCAGCACAGCCAGGGCTGTTCGGAAGGGGCAGCTGCTGCCCTCCAGGGCACCTGTGTGGCAGCACCAACGGGACATGGCATCAGTGGGGAACGTGGACACAGCCCACCCTGGGAGGAGAGTTTGGGACAGGCGAGACCTACCTCTGTCTGGTTTAGCAGCATAGTAGGGGCATTTACGCACATCTCCTTTCCCATCGTGCACGGGGAGCCCGTCCTCCAGGGTCTCTTTGGCCAACAAGGAGCCAGCCTGGTCCAGTTCATCGAATATCTGCAGGAGCAAGGGATGAACAGCCATCACTTGACTGGGTCCACTCTGCTCTCGGAGAACTATCTCTTTCTTCCCCCATGCAGAGGGAGCTAGAACTGGTGACTTGCTCAGGAGGGCAAACCAGTAAGTGAGCAGCCCCAATCAGCAGCAAGGACAGCCACACCAACCTAACACTTCTCCCTGTGCTCAGCATCCCACCGCTGCTGACTGGTGGCTCTTCCCTGGGCACTGACCAGACAACACAGCCCACAGCTGAAACTGCCAGGGTAGAAACAATGAGGAGAGAACAAAAGCGCTGCCCCAAAACACCCTGTGAGCACTGGCACTTGGCCATTTTCATTGGCTAGGTATTTTTAGAAAGAATGACAGAGGAACATGCGAAAACAGGCCCCAGCAGGGCTGACCCATCCTAAGTGGCCCTTGGAGGCTTGCTAATGTCAGACTAAGCCAGTGGGCCTGCACTGGGGCTGGTGCTTCACTCCCCCCCCCCCCCCCCCCACCCATGGCCACTCTCCTGGTGCTGAGGGCTGGCCTGGGTTCCAGGGACGGAATCAGCCTCCCCAGGCTTGGCCCCATCTAAAGGCTACTTGTAAACGGAGTTCTGCTTCTCACTCTCCTTGGTTCTCTCCATGCACTTATCAAGTGGGGCTTTTCAGAACCCTCGCTAAAAAAGAGGAAATCCACTCAAGACCAGAATCCTATGGACAGAGGGAGGGAGGGAGCTTCATTTTCCCAAAACCCTCTGTCCTAGGGCCTCGCCCTCCCCAAAGCAAAAACACACGGGCTGTCTGTCAAACAAAGCGGAGCCATCGCTGGGCTTGCCCTGTGTGGCCTATTTGGTCCTTCCACTTTCTCTCTGGCAGGCTGCAGCTCATCTGGCCTAATGCACTGATGCCTGTTCAGGCAGCTCTGGATTGGCTCCCACCGTCAGAGCCCCCCGCCTCCCCCCGCTACCATGAGCCCCAGCAGTACCTGCATGTTGTACTCAAAGGCCCTGTTGGCCTCCTCCACAATCCTCTCTTTAGTCTTCAGGTTCAGGTCCAAGGCATTCATCCTAGCCCGGTACAACTGCTTGAACTGCTGTGCATTGTCCACGTTCTCAAACAGGTAGAACCGGGTCCCTTCTCCTGTACTGGGGAGTTTCAGGGCCCGCTGGGCCACCTTCTTCAGCACCTGGCCCCCTGAGAGGTCCCCCATGTAGCGAGTATAGGCATGGGCCACCAAAAGCTCCGGCTCATTTTGCCCCACATAGTGGATCCGCTCCATATACTTTTGGGCAGCCTCAGAGCACCGCACCTTCTCCTCCCAGTCCTCACCAAAGAAATACTCCATGTCCTTGGTCAGTGCCTCCTTCCGGTGTAGCTCCGTGGGGAAGTACAAGGGGGCAAAAGCTGGGTGGTCCTTGTTGCGCTCCATTTCCTCCTCAAGGGCTGAATATGTGAAGTAAAGTGCAGTAGTGGCCAGCTGTTGAGGGCAACGGGGGAGACCATGGGATAGGGCTGTCGGCCTTGACCAGCAAGCACATCTCCTGAGCCCACCTGCCCCCGCGTCTGAGGAGCCACCAGTGAAGGCTCCAGCAGTGTGCCCCCATCACCCCAATTCCCCAGAAGCCCATTTTTATACAGTGAATTATTTCACACACTCAGGAAACTGCCATGTTCCTTAAAGGACTGACATGGTGAATTCTTAGGAACATGGATACCTCTGCTTCCTGCACACTACCACTATGCTCTTCTATTTAAGCTTCATGAAAACCACAATCTGAGGGCGCCTGGGTGGCTGTTGGTTAAGCGACTGCCTTAAGCTCAGGTCATGATCCTGGAGTCCCGGGATCGAGTCCCGCATTGGGCTCCCTGCTCGGCAGGGAGTCTGCTTCTCCCTCTGACCCTCCTCCCTCTCATGCTCTCT